TCATAAATCTAATAGCAATATTAAGGAAAACAATATTTTTAGTTTTAGCATTTGATTAAAATTTATCATCAAAATCTAACTTGTTTTAACATGACAGATTAAGCTCAAGTACGACAATCTCATCTTTAAACTTCTTATAATTTTAACTAATTACTGGGAAGGTTTGGTAGGAGATAATCTTGCCTTGATGCTGCCGATATTCTCAAACAAACGATTGCGTGAGAATTCCCTTTCCTCCAGTCGCTAGCCTCCGCTTCCTCTCCACAAATATCATAGAAAACACTATGTTTCTCTTCTACACTTTGTGAGTTTTGTGTGTTTTAGAAGAGAGTAAGTGAGAGGTATTTATAGAGAGGTTAGGGGGACATAGAGCCTAAAACAAACAGTAGTGAAGGATGGAAAAAAGGAGTAGTGGAGGGAAACAAGGAGTAGCGATGCAGGGAAACAAGGAGTGGTGGAGGGAACCAATGAGTAATTTATGGGAGTAATTTGTGGGATGTTGCTTAGTGGAGGAAAAATAAGGAAAATGCCTTTTTCTTTACGTTATTCTAATAATGAAACCCGACTATTTTCTGTTCATTTTTCTATGTTCAGTATATTCGTTGTAACTTTCCCATCCGACATCGAAATGAGGTAATTTAATATTTGTTGGAAAGCTATTGAAAAGACCTACAACTTTGAGTTTTCTAAGATTTGAACTGCATCATTGTGTAAAACACATAAACTTTTAACTGATCATTTCACCAGATATGCATTTGCACTCGAATATTCACAAATATATATTGCATTAATCTCAAGTCAATTCCTATCATACTCAAACATCAAAATATGATGTTTATTACCATATAATTATTTGTCATAAAATATTTAAATTTTCAGGGTTTTACATTCTTCCTTCCTTAAAAGAATTTTGTCCCCGAAATTCCGCAATCGTATCGTAGAGATTAATAATACCAGAAAAGCACGTTGAGAGGATAATCCAATCCTCACATACACATCTCGTACCATTAATCCCTAGATATGAACATAGCAATATCTAAAGTTAACAATCTAGAATACAAATACTCGCACTTAACCCTAACTAAACGGAACTAGTACGTCGAGCGAAAAATCCAAATGAGGAACCTCCCATATATATCATGTATTCCGAATGATTAGGAACTAAGTGTTAATACCCCCATCCTAGTGTTAAATATAAATATGACTATCCAGATAATCATAAACCATAAGCAAATCATAATCAAATCAATTTACCTGTTCAAACAGGTGTGGGTAGTAGCGACGCATATCCTCTTCACGCTCCTAAGAAGCCTCCTCAGCTCCCTTCTGGTTCCACTGAACTTTCACTAAGGGAATGACCTTATTTCTTAATCTCTTGTCCTCTCTAGGAAGTTTGCAAACTGGTACCTCGATGGTGGAAAAATTTGTCTGAATCTCGATCTCAGGTGTATCAATCACCCTCTGCTACTCCTCATCGTGTCGGTGCTTCTTGAGCATCAACACATGAAATACGTTGTGTACACTAGACATCGACGCAGAAAGGTCTAGTCTATAAGACACAGCTCCAACACGCTCAAAAATACTGAAGGGCCTAATAAATCTCGAGGCAAGTTTTCCCCATTTGCCGAATCGCTGAACGCCCTTCATAGGTGATACCTTCAACATGACAAAATATCCAACCTAAAACTCCAAAGGTCATCGTCTCTAATCCGCATAGCTCTTTTGCTGACTCTGAGCGGTAAGAATACGCTCTCTAATTAATGCTACCTTCTCTGTAGTCTGTCTCACAAGCTCTGGCCCAAGTAATAAGCTATCCTCCGGCTCTGCCCAACAAATCGGGGATCTACAGGGTCTCCAGTACAATGCCTCATACGGAGCCATACCGATCGTCGCTTGATAACTGTTGTTATAAGCAAACTCGATCAAAGGAATGTGGTCCTCCCAGCTACCCTGGCATCTAGAATGCAGGCCCGCAACATGTCTTCCAAGACTTGGTTTACTCTCTCTGTTTGCCCATCTGTCTATGGCTGAAATACACTGCTATAGGATAATCTGCTACCGAATGAATCCAAGAAGCTCCTCCAAAAGTGCAAAGTGAAAACTGAGCCTCGATCTGACACGATCGTCTCTGGAACACCGTGTAATAGAACTATCTCCCGAATAAAAATCCTCACGTAAGTCTCGGCGATGTAGGTAGTCCTTACTGTTATAAAATGTACTGACTTCATCAATCAATCAACTAACACCCAAACGGAATTGTCCCTTTCTTCGACCTCGGTAACCCCATAATAAAATTCATAGAGATATCCGCCCATTTCCATTCTGGAATGAGTAAAGGTTGTAGGTTTCCTATTGGTCTCTGATGTTCTGCCTTCACCTGCTGATAGGTAAAGTATTTAGCTACATATTCTGCTATCTCCCTATGCATACCGCTCCACCAAAAGTGTCTCTTTAGGTCCTTGTACATCTTTGTTGTGCCTGGATGCACTGTGTACCTCGAACGATGCGCCTTATCAAGCAACTCCTTCTTCAGCTCTGCACTAGCTGGCATAACTAATCGGCCTTTCATTCGAAGGCCTCCATCTACTCCAACGGCCTAATTGGCTTTGGGTTCATTAGAAATCTCCCCCTTTTGGTTTTGAATCCAAGAGTCCTCTAGCTGTGCTCTGATCACTCTATCACTCAAAGATGGCTGCATTGACATAGCTCCCAAAAATGCGCTGCTCCTATCGATCTGTGGCCTAAAACCAAATTGGCTAAGGGTGTAAAGGTCTCGGTACAATGAACACCTCAAAGCTGCAACCCGATGTTGATGCTTCCTGTGCAAAGCGTCCACTATGACGTTCACCTTTCTTGGATGATACTGAATCGCGAACTCGTAATCCTTGATGAACTCGACCCATGGTCACTGCCTCTGGTTGAGTTTCTTCTGAGAAAATAGGTATTTTAGACTCTGGTAGTCTGTAAATAACTCGAACTGCATCCCTGTGACGCCCCTGGGTTCACACAAGGCTGCAGTCCTCGGTGAAACCAAGAATGTCAAACCTGTCATACACCACACCGTGCAATAACATGTTTCACCATCACAATTAACATCTCTCTAGTAGAGTCAACAACAGGTGTAGGTACAAAAGCAAGTAAAAGATAATACAAGAGATACTGATGAAATGAAAGAAATCAAAATAATATTTCATCATCCAACATATAGAAATACAAAGTCAATATCTGAAATGGATAAACTGGAGTTCTTATCAAATCTCAAATACAACAAATCTGAGTAAAGGAAGTAAGGCACACAACCTTTACAATATCTAGAATAAAGTCCTCAAATATCTAAACAAAATCTACAATGGAGCTCCAAAATAAAACATATCTAAAAATAGTCAGCTGAACACTAAAGCGTGTCGCCATCAACCTGCCAAAATAAAACATATCTAAAAATAGTCAGCTGAACACTAAAGCGTGTCGCCATCAACCTGCGACTCTCCAGGCTCCTGGCTCGTTACCTGAAAGGGAGAGGGACAACGAGCGTCAAAGTGCTAGCGAGCAACATCACAACCAACCCCAAGGGAAAGGGCTCGTTGTATACAAAAAAATACAGTATTTACATAATAGTCAAAAATCAGGGCTCCTAGAAAATAATGGATTTTAGTATTTAGGAAACTACAACACGAGCATAGTTACGTCGAGCGAAATAATCCAAACAAGGAAACCCTCATGTATATACCTTGTATCTCAAATTGTAAATCCCTAAATACAAAACCCAAAGTCTAATACATGAATAATAAACTAAAAGAAACAACCCATCTCAATACTAAATCAAAAGTCACGCCGAAACCATATAAGTGTCAAAGGTCAATATCACATAAGTGTCGTATCCTGTCTAGGTAGCTATCATGTCCAAATCTCATGTAATCATGTCATATCCTGATTCAGATAAGTGTCATACTCATAGCTTAACAAATGTCCAAGACGTGGTCAAATATGTAAATGTCCAACATGATGACTGAAATGTGAATGCATGTCCAACACATGGACTGAATAAAATACGTGTCCAACACATGGACCGAAATGCTAAGTATCCAACACATGGATCAATAGTAATGTATGCCCAACACATGGACTATAAGTAAAGAGGTGCAATTGTCAAAGGTATATGTGGAAAGATATACATATCCCATACTCGCACGTGTCTCGATGTGCGGGTCTAAACTTGTGTCAAAAGTGTCAACTCACATGTATAGACAAATGTTCCATACTGTAGATTTAATGCCAGAAAAATTGAGGTAAACAATTCGTACACACAATATACACAACAAATATACTCCTGCACAAACAGTATCGCGGTCGACCGTAGAGGCCACTCCGGTCGACCGCAAAATGAGCAGAGATGTTCTGCTTGACAGAACGCCCATCGGTCGACCGCACATAGCGCTACGGTCGATCGCGAGATTGGCAGATGCCCAAATTTAGGTTTTTCTCTGCTTCGAAAATTGATCCAAACAATACATCTCTGCTTCCAAACGATATATCACATATTCTACCACATATGAATCATCATATAACAACATTTAGCATGTAGAAATCATCACTAAAAATCGTGAACATGCATACCCGTGTTTTAAACTTTATAAAACATTAAAAATCAGAAATTTAACTCTTAATAAAACATTTTCAGTTAGATCTCTTTAACCAAAAATCATTGGTGGGTATTTGAAAACTGAAATACTTAGTTTTCACATCACATATCATAAGGATCTATCTAAGTACGCAAAATAGTGATTTAGGCTCAAGAGAGCTCATTAAAATCGTTAGAAAAACTCATAAAAACAAGGGTGAGAGATTGGGCGAGATGTTACTCGCCTGAGGGGGTTGATGAACTGTAATAATTCTAAGTTTTTAGATAGATATATATAAGGAAAAGTATTGGGGCTTTTATGTAAAATTTGTTTGAGGGTTCTAATAGCAAAAATGACCTTTATAAATACCCCAAAAACCCTAACCTTTTTCCTGTCAGTCATTCTTTTTCTCCCGTCTGTTCCGCCGCTCAAGTGAAAAAAAGAAAAGAAAAGAAAGAAAATACCCCTGCTGCTACCTCTTGATATTTTTCTTGCATTCCTCTTCTCTGGAGCACGCCATGTCTAGGAGAGACATGGGGAAAAAAAATTATCACATGGGAATGCAATCTGATATTGGATCAAGAATATTAAGCAAGGTAGATATTATCCTATTTTCTACCTTAAGTAGTGTATTTATATGAAGTTCATTGATTTCTTTATTTAAAGATCAGTCATGGCTATAAGCCTTTGATTTACCATGTCCCATTCACATTATTTTCAGCAAAGCATATAGTGTATGCATGACTATATTTGAAACTCTATACATATCTCTACATCATCTTTATTTAGATGGATCTCAATGCCGATTATGAATTTGTTTTGAACATGAGGGCTTACAACCAAACCTGTAGCCAAAGAGGTGACGTCCCTGATCTTTGATTAATTTGTTTTAGTTATGGCTAGTGCTTAGCACGGTGACTACTTGTTCTACCCCCTTTGGATTTTATAGGATAAATTAATAATCACAGTTATCCTCATGTGCTTGATAGGATAAGATATTAATTGTTCAACTTGATGAGGACCTATGGGATCCCTGCCTTTCCTGAAGAAAAAGACAACTGATGCAAGTAGCTATTGATATAATACAGATTGTTTGAATAGCTTAATAAATGTTAATATTTAGTAGAATGTTTGTATTGATGGTTGTATGTATATTTTTCTTTTAGGGATTCCAAGTGATTTCGAGAGGGCGTTGTGAGTGTTGTTAGTTTGTTTCCTCGGGTTTATGGTAAGTGGTAAATTTATGCATTGTGCATTGCGTATTTTTCCTACAAAATGATAGTAAGTATATGTGGATTGTGCATTGCGTATTTTTCCTACAAAATGATAGTAAGTATATGTGGATTTGTTTCCTGATGGATTATATTCCTTTGTATGATTTACTGCCTACAAAATGATAGTAAGTATATGTGGATTTGTTTCCTGATGGATTATATTCCTTTGTATGATTTACTGGTATATCATTTGTTGATTGGTTTGATTTTGTGATGCTCATGGATATTTGGTATAAGCTTATGCTTATTTTCTTTGTCAATTGTTATGTCTTTTCATATATATAGTAGTAGGTTGAGATGCATATGTGGTTGATTGATTTCACTATTGGTTAGCCTTTGGCATTTTTGTATATCATACTTGGTTATATGAACTTTGTTCATTTTCTTTTTAAACATATGCATCTCAAGTCAATATACCGGTATATGTCGGATATAAGCAAGCTATTAAAACAGGACTCAATGTGCCTCTATGAGGTTTTATTTTAGCGCTAAGAGCCCAAATTGGGTCTCACCGTCCCGGAACCACGGGCTTAATAATTGTGGGGTTTACCGAGTCAACCGGAGTATGAAGTGTTGACCGCATTGAGACGTAGCATGCTTATTTCTATTCCATGATTTCTAATTTTCTTAAATATTTGTATCAAATACTAGAGTTCATTAATGATTCTATATCATTCTTATATTTTGTTTATTTCTCGTTGTAATATTTTAGTTTTGCAAAACCAGTGTTTAATGTATGAATTTATCCACTTATTGAGTTGTGAACTCATTGTGTTATTTCTATTTCTTTTCAGAGACTCGGGATTAGGTGGAATTGAGGATTGTCAACTTCTTAGAACGAAGCAAAGAATAATTCGAGATTGTTATTGTCTTCTAGGCGAAGGTTAAATAAAGTCTTTAATGTTTAGATGATGAATTGAGAGTTTGTAATAATGAGATTCTTTCTTTAGGTTGAGATTTATTTGGAGTTGAGGAATATTTATTTTTATCAAGTTAATTGGCTTAGTTGACTTTTGGGATTATAGAGAATATTTGTTGTTGGTTTTAGTTCAATGAAGAGATTTGTTTTAGTGTTCTTTTAATGAATGTATATTTTGGAGGACTTTTCACAGGTTTAGTCCGGCTCTAATATTCCTTTGAGGTTCGGAAATTGGGGTCGTGACATAAACACCCAAAAACGAGTGAGAAAGATCCTCCTTCAATCTGAACAGCGAAACTCCACCGAAAATCCTTCGAAACGCCCCAAAAACATAAAAAACGAAGTTAGGGTTTGAGAGGAGAGAGAGAAGGTGGGTTGAGGCTATTAGGGTTTGAAAGAGAGTTCTGAGAGCTTCAAAACGAGTATATATAAGTAGGGTAACAATCGGGTTTGGTATAAACAAAACCAACCTGAAACAGAACTGAACTAGCGTCTGTACGCTTAGCGGTCGACCGCAGCGACCACGGCGGTCGACTGCTCAGAGTTCTGGGCCATGCTCAGACTGGGGTTCGGTAAAAAGGTTGTAACTTTCTCATACGATCTCGGAATGAGATGATTTAAGATTCGTTAGAAATCTATTGAAGAGACCTACAACTTTGGTCTTATATACTTTTCCAGATTCTAACTAAATCAGTATGAAAAATATAGAAACTCTTAACTGGTCAAAATTCTCAGATTATCAATATTTGCCTTTGTGCATGTTTTGTGTATTTACACTCATATATTCACAAATATACATTGAATTGATCTCAAATCAATTCCTATCATACTCAAACATCAAAATACATTATTTTTACCATATAACATATTTATAATTATTTATCACACTATATTCAAATTTTTTGGGGTTTTACAATCCCGTACAGGTAATGTCTCCATGTCTTTAGTGTGAAGACCACTACTGCTAGCTCCAAGTCGTGCGTGGGATAGTTCTGCTCATGTGTCCTCAACTGTTGAGAGGTATAACCTACTACTTTCTGGGTCTACATAAAAACGCCTCATAGGCCTACTAGTGATGCATCTGTGTAGACAACAAATGTCCTATCACTGCTCGAAATAGTCAAAACTGGTGCTGTAGTCAACTTGGTCTTTAAGGTCTCAAAGGAGTTCTGGCACTCCGTGCGCCAAATAAACTGTACACTCTTCTTTGTAAGGCATGTAAGTGGTGTGGAAATCTTTGAGAAGTCCTGAATGAACTTCCTTTAATAGCCGACTAAACCCAAGAAGCTACGAATCTCGGTAACCGTCTTCGGCGGCTCCTAATCGAGTACTACCGTAACCTTAGCTGGATCCACTGCAATGCCCTCTCTGCTAATGATGTGACCCAAAATTCAGACCTCTGATAGCCAAAACTTACATTTGCTAAACTTAGCGTATAACTGATGCTCCCGCAAAGTCTGCAATGCTAATCGTAGATGTTGCTCATGCTCTGCCTCCGATCTCGAATAGATAAGGATATCATCGATAAAAACAATCAAAAACTGGTCCAAGTATGGATGAAAAACCCGATTCATCAAATCCATGAATACCACGAGTGCATTGATCAGCCCAAATAGCATGACAAGAAACTCGAAGGACCCATATATAGTGAGAAAGGCAATCTTGGGAATATCCATCTCCCGAACTCACAACTGATGATAACCAGAATAAAGATCAATCTTAGAGATATACTATGATCCCTGTAGCTGGTTGAACAAGTCATCAATCCTCGGTAATAGGTACCTAATCCTGATGGTGACCTTGTTCAACTCATGATAATCGATACATAATCGTATACTACCGTCCTTCTTCTTCACGAAAAGGACTGGTGCTCCTCATGGAGAATGACTCTGACGAATAAATCCCTGAGATAACAACTCATCCAACTGGGTTTGTAGCTCCCTCATCTTAGTAGGTGCTATACGATAGGGTGCTCGGGATATTGGTGCTGTGCTCGACTGTAACTCGATGTAGAATTCAACCTCTCTCATAGAAGGTAATCCAGGTATGTCCTGAAAGACATCCTGATAATCCGAGACAACTCTAGTTTTACACAAATTAGCACTCTGGTCCCTCAGCATCACCTCCTCGATGTATGCCAAAAGAGACTCCACAAACTGGTTGCCCTATGAAGTCGTTACGATCAACTTAGACCCATCGGACGCTTGTAAGTTGATTGTCTTAGCGAAACAGTCGATAATGATATGGTAGGATAAAAGCCAATCCATACCGAGAATGACGTCAAACTCCAACATCCGCAACACGATCAGATCTATGAGAAACTCAGAATCATCTAAACTGATGACACAGCTCCTGCAGATACTCTCTAATATGGATACCTTCCCTAGAGGAGTAAAGACGGATAGTGGTACGTCTAAAGGATGTGCAGCTAACTAAAGCCTATCCATGAACATATGAGAAATAAAAGAATGCGAAGCTCTAGAATCAAACAAGATCCGAGCCGGAAAGGAATTTACAAGAAAGATACCTTCCACTATGGCTCCGTTTGCACCCTGATCATGTGGTACGGCCGCATAAATCCTAACGGTGGCTAGTGACTGCTGAATTGCTGATGGTGGAGCATACGGGGCCATCTATCCCTCAAGAATCTCCTGGATAGCATGGATTTGGCCTGTTGGCCCCTCAATCCTCGGAATGACAGATGATGCCTCGATCCTCCGCTGCTACTAACCGTAGGCACGGTCCTACTGCTGCTGCTGGCCCTGACCACGATTCTGCTACTGACCATGTCCTCGACCTTGCTACTAGCCTCCTCTTGGTGCGCTACAGCACTCTGCTACTCTATGCCTAAATTTCAGACAGTTGTGGCATGTCCTCTAAAATTTGTGTTGCTGCTGCCTCCTCTTATCCTACGGTGGTCTTCTCTTAAACTTTCCTTGCTACTGATGCTAAAAATCCTTACCCCATTGCTGGGGTCCTCTAGGTCCAGTAAAAGGTCTCGTACCCTTGCCCTTATCCCCGGTCGGTCCTGCCTTTGCATTTACTTCCTTGTCTTTCTAGAACATAGTCATCTCAGTCTCCTGAGAAATGGTAGCATTAGCTACCTCTCGAACTGAGTGAAACCTCCTGGAAACGAGGTAGTGACGAAGGATAGGATGTAGACCTGCTATAAACATCAGTACTTGGCATTCTCTGGTCTGCCACATGCCCGTAAAGTGAAGCAGACTCATAAACTTGCTTTCGTAATCATCTACGGTCATGTCTATCTACGTTAATTTGGACATCTCAAGTTCCTTCCCGGCCCATGCCGCGAAAGAGATGTATTGATCATCAAAAAAGTATACAAAATCCTCCCAGGTGAGAGTCATCCGGTGCTCTGGGGTAAATTAAATTCGATACCATCCTCCAGCATCACCCTTAAGGCTGTAAGCTGCTAGCCTCTGCCTTTGCACTGAATTTACACCAAGTAAGTCTAGTATGTTACTCAAATCCTCCTTCCATTTATGAGCAGCAAGTGAATTTGATGACCCCTGAAACTTCGGTGCCCTCATCTTCTGATACCACTCTACTAAACGGAGCCAAGCCTCCTACTCTACTGCTCGCCCTATAGCTGGTGGTGGCGTAATCTCTAGTGTGATTTCTAGGGTCTCCTCCGAGATAGGAATGACTGGAATCACCGGTGGTGGTATAACTGGCTGAACATGATTCGTCATCTGCTCCTTGAGTGCTGCTAACATGGCTTTTATAGGTGCTATGAGGTCTACAAGGTGCTACGGAGCCTGCTGTAGCTCTGGTGGGGCCTGTTACTGTGCGGTTGGAGCCTGCTACGGCTCTGGCACCTCTCGCTCAGCTCTCCTGGTACGAGGCCTACCACGTCCGCATCCTTGTCCCGCCATCTAAAGTTTAGAAAAATGGTTTATAATACATAGTATTGAGACCTCAGGCGAAAAAACATATAAATTATTTATGAAAATACTTTTAAATCAAAGTAAGGTAGTCATAAAAAAATTCTAAAATTTTGAGATATACGCATATATCGCCTCACTCATTCTAGGAAATTCTTATCAGACTCTATACATGAATCCTAAAAAAAATCTTTTCTAGCTCTACGACTCAACACAGGATGATCCTAAAGATACTGGAACTAGATCTCTGATACCAACTATGACGCCACTGTTTTCACACTTGGTTGTAGTCTAAGGGGAACCCAGAGATGTCAAACCTGCCATGCACCTCCATTGTGCAACAACATGTTTCACCAATTACAGTAATATCCTCTAGTGGAATCAAGTAGAAGTGAAGGTACAAAACAGGCAAATATGGGAAATAAAAGTACAATAGACATGATGTAGAAAGAAATATCTCATAATGATATCATGTCTTGACTATAATAAACAGAAATACAACCGATATATCTGGAGTCTGAAATAACATGACATGTCTCAACATGGATCAACTAGAAATCGTACTAAGGCAACATGCCTTTACAATATGAATACAAACTCAAGTGACTGAATGGAAACATAAGACTACTGTGGAGTCCATACTAGTAAAAGTACGCGACGGAGACTATGCAGGAACTCTGTCACCATGCAACTCTCTGATGCTCTGAGCCGCTTAAAAGTTAAAAAAGAAAAAAAAAGAATAACAACAAGAGCATCAGAGCGCTAGCAAGATTACCTCTATCCGCCCCCGGGAAGGTCTACTAGATGTAGTGGAGGCTCTATCTATTAAGCATAGTCTACCTAGATCATTT